ACCAGGGTATAAAACAATGAGGTCATTTTGTCTTGCTCTAAGGAATAAGATGTACTTGGCCGGAAGTACATGAAGAGCACAGTTCCCTGGAAAATTGCAACTGCAGTTAAATGGGAAGTGCAGGTGGAGAAAGCTTTAAACCTCCCCTCAGCAGAGTGTATCTTTAAGATAGATAAGATGATATAGGAATAGGAGACAAGAACTCCCAAAATGGTGCTCAGTTCAATGAATCCAAAAATGGTAAATATGGCTAACTCATTGATCTGGGTCTCTGAGCAAGACAGTAATAAAATGGGTGGGATATCGCAGAAGAAATGATCAATCTCATTAGACCCACAGAAACACAGGCGGAATGTCAGTGTGGTGTGTATCAGAGCATCTGCCAGTCCCACCAGGTAAACCCCAGCCACCAGCAGGGAGCACAGCCTGCTGGACATGTGAGCTGTGTACAGCAGGGGCCTGCTGATGGCCTTGTAGCAATCCAAGGCCATCACCACCAGTAATATGCACTCAGAGTCTACAAAGGTGCAGGCAATGAAGAACTGAAGAGCACAACCAAAAAAAGGGATTGACTTGTCTTTGCCAAATATATCAACCAGCATCTTGGGTCCAACTGCTGTGGAATAGCAGAGGTCACAGAAAGACCGGTGACTGAGGAAAAAGTACATTGGTATGTGAAGCTGGAAGTCCATTCTAATTAAGATGATCATTCCAAGATTTCCCAGAAGATTATTGACATAAATATGTAGAAACAAGATAAATAGTGTTACTTTCATCCTAGGGTTATTAGTAATTCCCACCAATATGAATTCAGTCAATGAGGAGCAATTTCCTCGGTCCATTGTTCATAATCTTGTCAAGCTTTTGAGAAAATCATAGAAAATTGCACATTCATATATTACAATTCTGGACATCAATGATATATATATATATGGCAAACATATGATATTTTCTTCAGTATCCTATTTATCCTGGTCATGTTATGTTTTAAAAAACATTTTCATCTATTTGAAAAGAAAAGAAAAATATCTAAAATGTCAGACAATTGAAATTTGATCCAAATCCAGATCTAAATCTTCATGATATGTTTGTGTTTCAACATGTTCCTTGATTTTTAATGGCCTTATATCCTTATTTCATGTAATACTTGTGGATGAATTGAAACAACATTGGATCTTTCAAATGGCACTGAATAAAGCAGATATTACAGAGACAAAGGTTTAAAATGCCTTATTAACCAACTTCTAGTTTTTATAATATCTACATATACCTTAAATTTATATGATGTTCCCAAATATCATAGTTTGTTCAAAATTTGTTCTTGAAATACAGAACATAAAACTGGCTAATATTAAATTACTATGGCACTTTTATTGGTCCATGCTTTCTTTAGTATTTTATAAGAGAAGTAATTTTCATTTACTTTTTCTTTAGAAATCTATTATGATTTTGCCATAATACTCACTATCTGTTTATAGCAATGTTCTGATACAAAAGAATCAGCCTTTTGTTGAAAAAAAGAACTAAAAAGAAGCAGAAGCAACACATTTAACAATATATTTACAATTCACTGAATTAAGAATACTTGGATATTAAAAATTTGCAATAGAATGTGAGAAAATCAATATTTATGAGATGTTTAGCTTTCTCTGCCTTTTAGACAAGTGCAACTTTATGTTTCTCTGTTGACATATGAAAATTGAAATGTCAATGATATATTTTTCATTTTTAACAAACCTGAGCAAAATATGGCATGTTCCACATAGAATTGAATTTATCAACACTGTTTTTAATGTACCAAGTCCATTATTTTGAAATAAAACAAGAAAGTATCTGAAATTCACATATGTGCTTACACACCAACAAAATAAAGAGTTTCTTATGTTACCAGGGTAAAATAAAAAATTGGAATATTATCCAGTGGATAATATTACAGTCAGTCATATTCTTCCAATTTGGATTTAATATATAATTGTTTCAAACATTAGATAGGAGAAAATATTAACATAAGAAGAAAGCATAAGATGATTAATTTTTTAACTTCTCACATTATTTCTTTTTCTAAAATGGTGATAGCTTAGTTCTTTTTTACCCTAGATTTCTACGTTTCCATTTGCAAACATACCTGAGACAAGCGTCTTTGGTAGCTGAGCCCAAGGCAAACAGCAGCTTATTTTACCAAGCAGCTTTGGGGACTTTGGACTCCGAAGTTATTTCCCAGGGGCTTTGCTGTGTTTAATTTTGCTTCTGTTTTTTTTTATTTTGCCCTGCAAATACACTGCCATTAGTTATTCACAGTTGTAACCAAATTATGTTACAATGAAAACTGCAAATTATTTTTAATTCTAAAATGTAATATGAATTTTCCTTCTCTGATCAAAGCAGAAATTTAATTAATTTCAAATAACCTCTGATCACTGTCAATTCCCTTTTGTGGTCCATTATTTCTCCCATTTTTCAATACTACTCTTTACCATCTCAGAAATATTATTGTCTTTTGATACAATTATTTTATTTAATTAAGTGAATAATGAATGCATTAAGACATTTACCTTCTTAAAGAAAACATCTCTTTGTTTATTAGCATTTTCATAAATCAGTGCAGCAACCACCACTATATAATTCCAGAATGTTGTCTTCACCCCAATCAGAAACCAGACCTAATAGCAGTCACAGCCCTTTCCCCTTGCCCTACAATGCCTGGCAACTACTAATCTCTTGGTAGTGCTCCATATTTGTCCATTCTGAACAGTCCACACAGTCAGAATTATAGAGTATTTAGTCATTTGCAACAGACTTCTCTCATCTACCTGAATATCTCCAAGGCTCTCCCATGTTGTTGTTTGTCAGGATACCCTTACTTTTGTGGAATGTTCCTTTTTTCAGGTATAATACATTTTGATTTGGGGCCAGGGATTTAGCTCAGTGGTTTCGCCTCCTGTTGCACAAGCACAAGGACCCAAGTTCGATCCCCAACATAAAAAAAAATGTTGATTATGCCTTCACTGGTTGTAATGCAATTGCTTTATTTCTTCTTTCTGGTGAATATGAGTTATGATAGTGTACTGATATAAGGGGAAATGATGTAACTCCCAACCTTGCTAGATATCCAAAGTGCAAGTTCCTGTTCTCTAAAGTCAAAGAATGAATTCTAGGAACAACAGAGGTTAAAAGTAGGAAAATTATTGGGAAAAAGAAAGTTTCTGTCTATGAGAGACAGAAGGAGGACTGAAAAGTGGGTTGCCCACTCACCCAACTTCTCAAAGTTGTTTTATGGAACAAAGCCACGAGGTGGAGTGGGTTCAAGGCAGGTTCAAGGTGAGAGGAAACTGTAGTCAACTAGTGAGATTATTAAGTACAGTCACTTAGGTAATATTAATCCAATGAGAAATCCCAAATTCTTATGAATGAGGCCATCAAGTATCCCCTGACAGTGTGAGACACATGCTCCCTCCAGAGAAGAAGTGTGAGTTGCATGTCCCTCACCCTTTCCTGCAATACTCTGAGGGGTGTGGCCCAGGAAGAATACATGAATATCAGAAGTTTCCTATTCTGCCACACTGCTGATGCCATCTTTCAGAAAGAGCTAACTATAACAGTTTGATTATACTATGACAGTGTAGGCCTTTTTGATGGAATTTTGGAAAATCTTTGAACTTTTGCACTGCACTTGAATTTTTGTATCTTTCTCCAAATGTGGCAGCTTTTTGGCTATCATTGCTCCTCCCTCCCTTCCTCTCTCTCTCTCTCCTCTCTCCCTCTCTTCTCTGTTCTCTCTCTCTCTCTCTCCCTCTCCCTCTCCCTTTCCCTCTCCCTTTCCCTCTCCCTCTCAGTCCCTCCCTCTCATTTTTTGAGCCAGGTTCTCACTATATAATTCAGGGTGGCCTTGAACTCACAATGATCCTCCTGTCTCAGCCTCCCAAGTGCTGGGATTACAGGCATACACCACCATGCTCAGCTTGGCTCTTATTTCTGTAAATAAGCCTCCTTACCACCCTTTAGTTTTTTCTTATCTTTCTTCAACTCCTATGATGTAAATATTTTCTTGATGTCACATAAACTCTGTGAGTTGGCCTCAGTCTTTTTCATTATTCTTTTTCTTTCTTCAAATTTGATTCTAAATTTTCAAGTAACTGGTCTCACAGTTCATAGATTTTTTCATATCCTTTATTAATTCTGTTGTTGATGCTCTTTCTCATTGTTTTTATTTCATTGTTTGCATTCTTTACTGCAACATTTTGGTGGATTCTTCTTTCTGACTTCAATTATTTTGTTGAAATTCTTTGTTTGTTTTAGTTCAGTAAACCATCTCTTTGTGTTCCCCTAATAAAATTCTCTTAAATATCCTTAGATAAATTATGTTGAGTTTTTAGGTTGGAAGCATATAGACATCTTTTACTTTAAGGACAGTTACTAGGATCTTTTTTGGTGGAGATCTATTTCTTTGCTTTCCCACCCTTGATTTTAAATTTATGTTTCTTACTGATTTATGTTGACATCCATTCATTTGAGGGAATGGTTCTTTCTTCCAAATTTCACAGGCTGTTTTCACTGGGGAAAGACTTTCCCTTATGGAATATTGTGAGCACTCTGTCTGAGAGACAGGGTGGTTCTGCCTCACATGAGTCAGTGGTGTCCCCTCTGTGCTGTTCTCTCAGCTGAAGTCAGTGGAGGGGAGCACAGCAGGGCCATCAGGGCCAATAATGAGTGGGTGACTGAGGCAGTAGTGAGGGTCATGAAGCATTCAGGGGCCAAGTTTCCTGGAGTTCCCACAATATCCTTTCCTCTCACTTGTGCAGTCATTGGCAGGGGCCTCTTTAGTGATATTGGTTCTAGCTCATATGCATATTCATGATGGCAAGGACACCAATATGTTGTCTGTGTCTCCCATGGAGTAGACATGGAGCTGAGGATGGAATCATGGGCACTTGTGCAGGGAGAGCAGCTGGGATTTGGGGCAACAGTGCCCAGGTGTAATTTCCCCACCTACTACATGGTTAAAGGTGGACAACACAGGAGGGTTCACTGGAAGGTGAGGGTCCAGGATCCAGTGTGTGTGTGTGTGTGTGTGTGTGTGTGTGTGTTTGCGCAACACTACAGCAGCTATGGGTCCATGTATGAGCTAGGTGGCTGTGGCAACAGGACTTGTGTATCAGTCAGTTCCCCTTGTAATAATAGCAAGACTCTAATGTATTGCAGCTATGCTGGATTACTTACTTAAATATGTATCTTTATCTTCTCTTTGTATCTTTAAATCAATTCCTTCTCCCACATCCACCAAAGACTTACAACAAATATTAATGATCAAATAGTATAATATTAACAAATGTGTGTAGTAGAATAACATCATCTGCAAGATCGTATATCTTAGCTCCTTTCTTTATCCATGTCACTGAATTTCCAGAAGAGAAGCATGATATAGATTACATATGATCATATGGAATCAAATGCAGTGTATGTGTTTACATGTGTAGCACAGGTAATAGATATGTAATGGTGAGAGGTCATATAAAAACACTGATTAAATTGGTAATGATTTTCATTGCCTTGGTGATCAAGAGATTCTATATTTATGTCAGGTGCAGTAACTGTCTTCCCTTCAGCCTTCTTGCTGCAAACACATCATGAAGGAAGGAAGTACTCAGTGCCACTCTGGGTCTCTCGATGTATAAAGTGAAACGTATGTGGAACTGGGGTTCTCTCTGTGACAGAGGCAATGAGCCCAGGTTGTTTTAAGGCAACTTCCACATGATATTTCTGTCTCTGAATTCTCAGAACTTTGATTTCCCTGCTCCGTGAACCGCCCCCCCACTTTAAAGCAGAGAGGAGCTACTTCTGCACA